TCCCTTTAATTTAAAGAGCTGTGATTCCCAGTTTGTTTACATCAATAAATCTATCAAAATCAGAAGCACAGAACAGAAATTAATGCTCAATCATGAAGGTCAAAAGCCACATACATGACTTAACCGATGTGAAAACCGTTACCGTTGTGGAGAACTCTTTATAATTATTATTATTTGTCCACTGCCCCGAGAGAGGGCGCTACCAGCTTTCTCCCTCTTCCTCTCTGGAGGAAAATTCGAACTGGTTACTCGATTCCTGGCTGCCGTCGGTGAAGCACGCACTCACCTCTCTTTTCCTCCGTGATGTTATTGTAGCTGTAATATGACTTTCTTGATTTTTACTCATGCGGACTTGCAAACTGTAAAATCATCTTGTAACTACATGCAATGTGATTGTGTATAAGTGAATATATGTCATCCTAGAATTAAGTATAAATGTTAATATTACCGAGTCAGATTTTGTTAACATTCAACGTGCAATCAAAAATGGCATCCATTAACAACAGCCATACCATTTAGCAATATCTACTGGCATTTAAAAATTCAAATAAATCATTACGTACACGCGACGCTGGACTGTAGGTATTGATTGGAGCTTTTCACGTATATGTGATGCTGGGCTGATAAGAGTGGAATTGTTACATCGCGTATACGCGACGCTGGTCCTGAATGGGTTAAATGTATTCCTTTGCTTATATTTCTTTTAAATTGATACACATCATAGTTGCTAAATTTCACTTCTAATTTAATCAATGGAACACAAGGTGAACTCGACAATAACTAACTTAAATGAGAATTAACCACTTAACTGTTTCATTTTCCTGCCATATTTTGATCAAAAATAAGCATATTTTTTTATAAACAATTTTGTATTCTAATTGATTACATGTATTCAAATCGGCAGTCAAAACTGTTACAAGTGTTGCATTTTTTAATTGCGCCGAATGATGAAACTGTGGAGCTGGAAAGAACAGTTTACAGGAAATAAATGTGAAAGAAGTAAATTCCCTGTAAAAGGAAATTATGGCGGTGGTGGAGGAGGATTACTAGTATCCATTTCACAAAAGTTTCGAAGCTGAATTAGATCATTTGGGCTCTTCATTTCCTCAACATCACTAGAAAATTTCGATAAAGAACTTTCAGGACTACCAGAATCATTTGTAAAAAATTCAGATTCACTATCTAATCCAGTATTAGAATTATATGTTATGAGCCATTTACTGTGACCGATCATTCTTTTATTTCATGACAAAATTTAGAAGAAATAGTATTTGCAAAGTTTAATACACTGAACATGGGCAAATAAATTCGTTGAATTTCTCCACATAATGCAAAGTGGTAAAACCTGTCCTTGAACTGGTTTTACAATCCCATCTCCCCTGGACAAGTAATGACATCTTTTAGAAACAGTGCAAAGTAAAAAATGTGAAAAAGCCATGAAATCAGTGGCATAGTGTAGGAAAATACACTGCCTGAGTGGTGTACGGACAAATAAAAAAAGTACCTTTTCGCAGCACCCAAACGGTTTTCGGGAAAAACAGTTAAGTGGTTAGCTACTTAAAGTATCAGATTTCTATTTAAACTTTGCATGACAACTTAACTCATTTAGTGACAGCAAAACCTACAGATAGAGACTATAACTTTCCAAAAGTTTCATTTTCAGTAATTTAAAAATTATCGATACAATTTATAATGCTTTCAGAAATTATGTTAACTTGGCTACATGTGTCAATTATAGCAGGAAAGTTATTATTCTCTATCTGAAGACTGAATTTGAAATTATCATTTATTAGAAGTTTGATTTTATGACTGTATCATTTTGTAGAAGTTTGATTTTATGACTGTATCATTTTGTAGAAGTTTGATTTTATGACTGTGGTGGTTGATGATATTTTAAAGTAGGATACTGTGAATTTGGATACGTATTTTGATAAGATAGGAGTTGATAATGATTTTAAAGCAGGATACTGTGAATTTGGGTATATTAACCCTTTCTGGCACACTACCTTTTAAATTTGGAATTTCGATCAAAAAAAGAAATAGTCTAATCAGGCCTAGAGGAGTATATAGGTAAAATTTTGTGAAGATGGCACTTGGAGCTTATAAATAGAGCTTCGAAAAGAGTGCTGAAACGAGCATTGCTGGGAAGTTCTTAAAAGGGTAAGAGATTTTGCCTACGATTAAAAAACACCAGACTCTGAATACGGTAGCAGATTTAGCATTATCCATGGTGTGCCATGGGGAGGCCTGTTACTCTACACCCCCCTCCTAGAAAAGCTTTTGGTTATATGATGATTGCATGCATATGAATGGAAAAAAAGTAACTTGGGTATGTGCTATTTACATTATTTGCATTTCATATTTACACTTTCGTCTATTTTTTCATGGTGGTACTTTTCAAATAAAGTGACACTACCTTTGAAGTAGCACAACGTAATATTGCATGCTTTGCATATGTATTGGGATCTGTATCAGATTCACCATCTGGAAGAAATTCGTGTAGCACTGTCAGTGATTCAGAAATGGTCAGCGCTCTCCAATCCATTTGGAAAATAATTAAAAATTCGAAAAAAATAAACTAATATTATACCTACAATCAGAAACTATAAAATAAATAAACGTCTACAACTCAAAACTATTAAACATAGTGCTAACAAAACTTCTCTGAGCAAAAGTGAAAGAGGAAAAAACCAAACATCTAACTGATAAAATTACCCCTGACCTTTAGAAAATCACCCCAAGAATTCCTTAGTTGATAATCAAACCTCCCCTCCTTCCCCCCAGAAAAGGAAGAAAGAGAAATAGGAAATGAAACGCAGATCTGGACCCACCTTTCAATTGTCAATGAACTGACTGGAGAGTTGCAGGGAAACAAAAATACAGTTTTTGGTTTAGTCCTAATCTCGCAATCAGCACACCTGATGTTTGCTGTTCGATTTTAGGCAAGATTTCAAGGTAAAAATTTAAGACTAATATAGAATAAGAACATTAGCATACAGCCAAGAAAATAACGTAGAAATTTCTTTTCAAACAATTCTTTTTATATCCTAAAAAATATGGAAGATTTCTTTGAAAAATGAGGTCTTTAAAAACTAAACATGGCTAAAATATATGGACTGGTTTGTGTTGTGCTGCCATGTAGTATAAATAAAGAAGGTTCAGCATAATCTATTAATACTTTTTCATTCAATTTTTCTGTGCGTACAGAAAGAAATTTTTAGGTGTGCCACAAAGGGTTAATTATGTTAGTCAAAATTGTATTATTGACATTTGTCTTCATTTGCTACTGCTTTTAACTCTTTCCTTTAAAAGGTTTCTCTGTTGCTGTTCCTTTTTCTCTTTGAAGGGGAGAATGAGTAAATTAAAGAATATTTAAAAGATAAACTGCAATTCAAATTTGCAGAGTAACTTTCAATTCTCTATTATAAAAATAGTAATCTCTCTTTTCACTGTATCATTTCAAGACTAATACATGTCATATGACTCTTATGTAATTCTGGTGATGTGAACTTACACAGCCAATAATAATTTTTCAGCAGTATTAATTGTTCAATCAAAATGCCCTGAAAGCCAAAACTAACTAACGTACTCTAAATTAGATTTCGTTCTGAACATGATACACTTGTTCGCTACTCTTCGGCCTAGCTGGTGTCCTGTCTGCTGTTTCCTTCTTACTGCAAAGCTATCAAAAACTTAAACCTCTTGAAATAGGCACAGATTATGTGCACACTATTTTGTGGATGCAACATACTTATGGGAAATAAAATGAAGTTTTAATCTGCCTTGGCTGCCAGTTTTCTGTTCATTGTGGATTAGCATTTTCAGCATTCTACAAGATCAAAATTCTTCATCTTCAGTAGGAATTCGTTGTGCTGTCTACATTCTACTCCTACATTTGCTACCTCTTATTCATTGCATATATACCTGGTGATTAAGAATTCATCATCAATATTTGGTGAGCAAGTAGGGAATAGGAAAAGAAGTAGATTTCACATAGGAATGCATGGCACATATGCCATATAGTAGAGCAAAGCGTTTACCGGATTTATGTCCTGTCGATTTCTTTGTATGGGGTGCTATGAAAAGCATGGTGTACAAGACCCCTGTTGATAGTGCTACGGACATGTAAGGACATGTAAGCAATGTTACATGTAAGATAATAAATGTTTTTTCCCTTACCACTTCCTTCTTATGTGTTCTTTCCATCATTGAACTGGAATATATATATATATATATGTAATAATAAAATTCCATAATCAAGAATACACTTAAAATTCTAACTGTATATTCTTTTCATTTTTAATGGCGACGTTCTCTCATTTGAAAGTACGTGGAATTAAATCCACAGCCCCATAGTCAAGTTGTTTTTTCTGCCTTTTCTACACATACAGTTATATAATGTTCTGGAAGTATTTAAAGCGAACTGGATTGGCTGACGAAGCTGACGTCATTTTTTGGAAGCTCCGCCTTTCCAGAGGCTATAAAAGGATTCGCAAAAGGAATATCGGGAGCTTTTTCTTAAATGTCACGATGCAGTAAACTTCATACAAAAAGTTATTAGTAATTCTTTTTATTACTACTCCGGATATCTGATATTTGTAACTGATATTTCTCCTGAATAATAATAAATGGATCCTGTTTTTTAAAACTATCGTCTGATTACTTAAGCTACGACTAAAGCTGATGCATCACATATATATATAATTTTGATGAGTAAGTATTGTGCACTGCCTTTTCTGTGCCACACGCAGAATAGATAAGTCCAAGTGTATCATGTCAGATTTTCAGCAAGATTCATATTTGTAAAGTTCGTTTCTAGGCTATCAAATATTGTTTTGATTTATTTGAGAAATTTTGATGGGGTGAACTTTATTTAAATATTATACAAAATTGTTTTTTATCTTTTCTATAAATGATTTGCAGGTCAAATGCAGCTTTAAAAGTGCTAATCCAAAAAATTGTCATTTTATTTTTTTTATAATATATTCATTTTTTTACAGGAGACTGGATGTGTCCTTGGCATTTTTGCAGTAGCTGCCCTATGGAAGCTTATCTTTTTTGTTCAAATTGTCCAGTTTCATATTGTCGAAAACATTTACCATCAGGCCTAATGATACAGCGCAAATCATTTAGATGTGATAATTGTAAGAGACCTCATGAGGCCTGTCCTTCAACAGAACCTTCAGAAAGTCAGAATTCATTGGCTGCATTAGTGAGCCAGAGCTCATCAGCTCCATCTTTGAATCAGTATCCAGGTAATGTAGACCAAGTGTCAGCTTGGATTTTATGATAATTTGCTAGAAGAAACATCATTATTGTGAAATCTCTTACAGGTGCATTTAAAAGCGTAAGTCAGTATACGTCAGTTAAATATCTTATTACTTATGTTTAATCAAATTTTCTATACAAACATGCATTGGAAATGGTGTGTGGCTTAGCTCTCACTTTCTTGAGAAGACATAATTTTGTACTGAGAATCTTTGACAATTATAAAGCTGCCTTTTATCGAGGGGCAAAGAGTATTGTAATGAAAATATATATGAAAAGGAATAAGATGAACTACAGTCATATGGTGAAAAATTCTTGAACTGCACTAACTTCACAAAATTGATGTAAGTGCAATTGTCATTTTATCTTATCTACATTATTTTTCCTTATTACCACTCTGTTTTGCACAGTTTTTAGAATTTAGAACATTTTCATGATTTGTTTAAAGTGTTTTATGGGTATGGATGAGAATTGAAAGGAATCGTCTGCAAAGCCTGACTTTAGAGAAAGATTTAAAATAAATAAATAAATAAATATCTGTACGTCCTAACATCATAATTTTTGGAACTTTTTTAGAATTATTACTAAAGCTATCATGTATGCTAAAATTAGCATTTAGTAGTCTTTTTCATTTTTTGTACTTGAACATATTTTTTTTTTAAAAAAAAAAGTCTTTTTGAGAAATAATTTTTAGGAGCACTATTCAAATTATTCTGAATTTTAATTGATAAAATACATTAATATATTTTAAATTAATAAAAAATACGAGGCTGTTTACTAGAAGTAACAAGATATTTCATGTGAACTGAAAGACAGACACTTAGTGAGCTCAGTCTCTGACAAAATGTCCGTATGAGAATCATAAGAAATATTTCTCTTGAACTCTTTAGAAAATTAATCATCACTCTCATTCTTATCACTAATTGGCTCATTAACTGTACAAGTATATAATTCATGTGATAGAGATCGCTTGCTAGGCATAATAACCGAAGTCAAATTAATCTTCACTTTCATTCGTGTCACTGATTAGCTCATTTACCATTTAAGTGTATACTTCATCTCTGATAAATATCAACTTGCTCAGTATAATAATCTGAAGGGAAGGCTTTCCAAAATAAATTGGAAGTACGTGAAATATAACCAAAGCAAAGCGTAATAGAGCCCTACATAGAAACCCTAAAAAGACCATACATAGTAGCAAAAAAGGATCAGAAACATTACCTCGTGGCTAGTTAAAGGGAAGATTTCTGCCTCTTTATATTAACCCACAATTTTGTGATCTTTGAAATGTTCCAGGACACTGGCACAAAAGTGTGAGGGCCAATGGTGAACAAGAGCAGGCTCTGTTACGCTAGCACAACCAGACGGTAAGTGAGTGCATTTCTTACAGGCATGTATGCATGACAGTTGGTGAGAAAGTGTTATATTGGTTAGTTTTTGTATCTTCAAAACTTTCAAAGCACAAGCTTGAAAAATATCTAGTGGTAAAGATGTAACAGTAGTTGGCTGTTCATTCAAAATTTAATTCCTGTGTTTTATGTTACGCTTCAATACATTTTTCACAAAAATCAATATTGTGATTTACTTGGCATGCAATGATGGTGATGCTGTGCCTCTTTTGGGTTTACCCCCAAACAGGGCTTCAAAACGCTGTGGTGTATTCTTTTGAGGTATTTTGTATTTTTTGCCGATTGAATAAAGGGCAATCCAACTGCAAATTTATTTCTATTTTCATGGTTCCTCCATGCAGTTGTTGTTTCTTTATGTTTTAATTGGCCGTCTGAACTGAGCCTTGTGTTTGACTGTGGCAGGGCTTTCTGCGAACTATCTTGAAATCTTTCCGCAGCACAAGAGGTGTCTCAATTACTGAATTTTCTTTATCTGGATGCAGTATAACTGGGGCATCAAATATTGAAAACATATGAAGAGGGTGATATGTTACTCCCTCAGCTGTCTTAATTTTTAAAGGTAGTAACTGGACAAGCTTCATGAAATGGTTATGATATGCCATTACAAACTTTGCTATCCCTGTGTAGTAGAAAGTCTAGTAGATTGCCTTGACGCATTGATTTTAATGTTGAACTGACTATTGGTTTTATAATAATACCTCTCTTAGATGCACTGTGTTTCATTTGACAATATTTGCATAAGCACTAAGCATTGCTGCTTCATATGTAATATTTAACTTGCAAATGTTTAATCATACATGTTCTTCCTCCATTAGCTATTCTGATATCTTGCAACTTCTATACAAAATATTTCATAATTTGTAACATAATATTGTACATTCATTTTTTCTGGTTCTAATTTCACAAATAACATTTCATCCTTAATATTTAAAATATCAAAACATTTTATTCATCTGGAATCCTTCACTTGTTTTATTAGAAGTCTTTCCAGAATGTATTTTAAAGTGCTTCTCTTGTCAAAAAATAAAAATAATCAGGTTTTTATTTAGTTACAATGGATGCATACAATATTTCAAAGAAAGATCAGGAAAAATCACACTGCTGTAGCCATTCTAAACATTGTATGTTCCAGCAAACTTTGTGTAAGACTGCCAAATGATAAAGTTGTTGAGAGTGTGCCAACTAGATGCTACTTGAGTTTAATCATGTTAAAACAAAGATTTGGGCACTTTTATAGCTTTTCCCTTGGCTTGTCATTTTGATCCTCCACCAGAATTCATTGAAGACTACTGACATTCTCTTATTTCAGTGGTTTAGGGCAGTATTTACACACCATGAAACTGAACTAGTGTTTTCCAGTTACATTACACATCTAACCTAATTTCCAGAGACAGTCCTACTGTGGACCACATATATCTGCATTGGTTGAGAAGTATATGGTCCTGTATGGAATGAGTAGGTGGTCTTAAATTTTGATACTGGTAATGTTCTTAAAACAAAAGGAGCAGATTTGAGGGAACTGCAGATCTACTATAGGAAGATGTGCTCAAAATTATTTGAGAACAAGTCGTGTTATGATGATTGTGCATCTCAACCCCTTTAAAAAAAAAAAAAAAAGACCCACTTTACTGCTATAAGACAACGACAGGTATGTATGATTTTCCTGTACAGCTTTGGTAAGACTTTTCAAATGCATACTGTACTTCAAGGACGGGTCTTTAGCTTGCTGTTGTATTGTTCATATTTGGAGATTAACCTGCAGCTAGTACTGCAAAATATGCTGAGATACTTTGTATAACTCTTCATATTGTTTTTTGGACAAGGTTCAGGTGCATGTAGCACATCCTGTGGCTCATGCTTTGTCCCTTGGTGCCAAAATCTGCTTTACTGTCTGTTCACCATAATCCCTACACTTAAAGTGCCTCTGACTATAATTTGACTTCTTAGAAAGGAATCATTTTTTGGCAGTTCATCATTTATATGCAAATTTTTCCAGAAATATATCTGGCAAAAGACCAATCCATATAAGTCCACAAAAGAACAGACTTTGCTACAAGTATAATAGAACTTTCACATTCTTGGTAGTTGGTTGTACTCAACGTTGGTAATTTATGGTGAAAGACAGTACAGTCAAAAGTTGTTAATCCGGACTCGTCAGGACTTCAGCGATTCCGGATTATCGATTTTTCCGGATTATAGATCATCAATTTAAATCTCGTAAGATGGCATGCAGAAATTCTAAAATTAAAAATATGAAACCATAATTTATGAAATAAAGACCAATTATGATCTAAAGGGTATCAAAATTTACAAAAAAAAAGCTTAATATTTATTTGTTTACTTTATTAAACATTTCTTTCAAAAGTAAGTTAGTAAGTTGTAAGTTGTTTAAGTTGCTTCGTTTTATGTGATAATACTTTCTCATTAATTCTATAAACAGACATAATTTCTTGTTCAGTTACAAAGTTCCGCTGTCAAGTCCCATAATTGCTGTGCCCGAGATATACGACTAACTTGTCAATCAAAATTTTTTCGTTTTCACTAACCTCTCTGTCACCTTCTTCATGTCTTTATCCATTTTTTTGCAGCAATTCCACTTTTTGTTTGATGGACATCGAAACATACTTTTGTTTTGTAGATCCTTTGGGAGCTCCAGCATCGGAAATTCTATTTGACCTAATCGAAAGTTCAAGTTTACTTTTATAAAATTGCTCTTACAGTCTGCAAAAAATAATAAGCCGGATCCAATTCGAAGATTAAGGAACAACGCAATCATCAACATTAACTGAAATAGATAATTAGATAATTTTTAGCTTATACCGTCCGTTATACAAAATGCGCACGCGGAAATGTATTCTGCGCTTGTGCACACGCATATGCGCAGTCGTAAAGGTCTTACACTCACGCGTAACCGCCTATGCGTATGTGTCAACGCGGCGCATGCGCAGAAAGTTTTTAGCTTTGAGGTCCAGATTATAGATCGTTTTGGATTATGGGTGTCCGAATTAACGACTTTTGACTGTAGACGTTTTACTGAAATATCTTGTTTTAGTTGTACTCACAAGTAAATAATTGACACTGTTAGAATTCCAGTTTTCATATTTATACAGCTATATATATATATATACACTGTATCATTTGCTTTAATGTCATTTTGGGCCTTTAAGAGCAATCTGTTATGATCTGATGTATTTTTGGAGGCATGGGAACAATTGCTTTATTCTCATATAAATGAATGTACTTTTTCATTTGATTCAGTTGGGCTTATGACAGTTTTTCTGTTTTGCTCTACTTTCATATAATGTAAGCACCTGTATTTCAGTTTCTAATTTTTTTTTTTTTTTTTTTTTTGTAGAGTACTTTTATTCCTCTTTTCAGGTGAAGAACTAGCATTTAATTCAGAATGTGATAGATGTTGCCAACAGAAATCCTTTTGTGGCTATGCAAATTGCAGTGGTATTGGGAGAAATTTGTCTTCGGTAAGTTTTATACTATATATTATTTTAAGAGACTGCTTATGCTGGTATCTAATGATAATTTTTGATTTGATGACTTTCAGAATGCAAGAAACTTATCATCAAACCAGGACAGTCACAGTCTAAGCTGGACCTTTATTAAGATTACATATGTTGTCACACTTGTTCTATTTTAAATAAATTTCACTGTAATATTGTTAAAAGCAAATCTACAAAATCTTCACAGCCAGTTTTAAAACAAATGTAGCTTTAAATGTTTACCACAAAATAAATTCAGGTATACATTATATTTCTATAAATCCTATATGTTTACATAAGGGCTGGTTCTAGATAGGTGAATTAATCCCAGAAAATACAATATATATATAAAATACCAGATTAATGTACAGGAATTTCTGCATTATATGTATTTTCAAGTACCATTAATACATTTCTAGGAAAGGAACAATTTTCTGCATTCTTCTGGCTGAATAAACCTAAACTGGGCGTTATTAACCCTGAAATTTTGAATGTCATTTGCAGTTAATATTAGGGTACATTAGTGTTATGTGTAATATTTAGATTTATTTTATGTACATAGCTTTAAAGAGCATATCTGTTATTTGACTGATAAAGCTAATACACTTTATATAGAAGTCAAATTGTAAAGTCTTTCCCTTTGATATTCATGTTGTGCAGCAAAATTGGGGCATATTTTTGTAGTTTTGGGGAAAATTATTTAATGCTTTCTTAATAATTTGAAGTATGGATTTATATCAGGTATTCAGTTGAAGCTGTATAAACAGGAGCACCATAAAGGGCGAAATAACCAATTTTGTAGCCATGGGGAAATAACTTTGGTTTAATTTTGAATTATAAAGGCAGAGCTCAATTTTATTGAAATGTACTACTTCATTCAGTGAATAAGTGACAAAATGACAATCTCGAATGTTTTATGATCTTTGGAATTCGGTGGAAAATCATTACTTGAGACATCCTTGCTAATTAGTTGTAAACAATTTTGAGAAATTGTATCTCCGGATTTAGATTTCAAATCCAGAATAAATAAACTGAGAAGTGAGAGTGCTGAAAATAACTAAAATTTTTAGTAATTTACATATTACAATTCCGTTGCTGATAGGTAATTAGGTATTGTATTTTCATTGTCGCTCATATGGATGAAAAAAATTGCTAATGCGAAGTTTAAATTTAACAAATTAGACTTTTAATGATAATTAAAAATTTATTTTCATAATGTGTTCATGTATATCATGTCACTGATATGATATAATTCTTATATTATGTCCGTATCAAATTTCATTAAAATATGTACGTTGGTTCTGAAGATAATTGACCAAATGTGAAAATACTCTTAATTCTGAATACCACCAGTGTATTAGCTAATAGACCTTCCCCAGTTATGTATTGATTGTGAGTTTTATTTTAATTTCTAATGGTGCTGTCATCTTAGCCATAGACTAATGTTTTCCATGTTGTATGTGTTCCCATGGCTGTATAATGTGGATTTCTTCTCCACCATCAGTATCAGAATGCATTTCTTCTTTGACATCAGTGAATTGTTCCATATCTTAACTAGCAAAAAATCCTAACAATTTCCTTAAAAGTATGAATGAATCTATTTTTCCATTTAAGAGACCGATTTAACTGCTGGCTATGTTTGCTTTTGTAACGTGTAATGAGAAGTAATTCTCATTGCATAATAGAGGTGAATTTATGAAAACGGCAGATATATTTTGTGCTAAAATTTTGTACTAATTTCTATTTGAAATCCACTTGGAGGGCATAGGAAAAAATATTACACTAGTACACATGATTGTCTTATAGTGAAGAAATCGATTAGTGTTTTCATATACTTAATGAGCAGACCTGTCTTACAAGGGAATGCTAGTATTTCGCTTGGAAAAGTTGCAGCGAGCGAGTGTTTTGAGAACTGTTGATGTCGATTGATATGTGAAAGTGACTCAGGCTTCTGCATATGTTTTAGGAAACTGTAGTTTTAATGGTTAAAATTACTCTGCTCATAAACAAATATACAAGAATATAAACAGGTAAGGTGAGTACATGGCCTTCCCCATGGTATCGGACTGTATATTTTCCTACGAACTTCTATTGCTGTTGTTGCCTTTTCCTCTGGATTCTGACGCTGCCAGCCAAGCTCCAAAAGATGGTTGACTCTAAGGAAGTCAGTCATACTCCAGATATATCCAAACAGACCGAAATATGTTTAGCAAAAGTGATGTTCTCAGCACTTGGTGCATGTGGGAAAGATTTCATGCTGTCTTTGAAAGAGAGGCACTTAATGTGACCGCTGGCAACATGCGAGTGCTCTATCTCTGGGAGCTCCTGTCACACCCAAAGCTTAGAGTCCAGCAATGCCTGTTAGTGAAGAAACAGTGTTGAGTGGGGGGACAAGCATTTCCAGCATGATTTGTAATTTTTTCAGAGTAGAGTTCTAGAGAAGGGAGCTCAAATACCACAGCCCTCCATTTCTGATTTGTTCACCATTTTGTTGCCATAAAGATTCACATGATAATGATCCACTGTAAATGGATATTGTGGTGCTCTGAAATTAGGTGTAGTTTTTGTAGGGCAGAGGTGCTGATTTTGTCAGAATCCGGTCGAAAGGCAACAACATTAACAGAAGTTCATAGGAAAATATACAATCCAATACCATGGGGAAGGCAATGTACTCATCTTACCTGTTTATATTCTTGTATATTTGTTTATGAGCAGAGTAATTTTAACCATTAGAACTTTGGTTTCTTAAAACATATGCAGAAGCCTGAAATATATAACTGTAGCTCACTACAAAATCTTCATAAAAGGAGTCCTTTTATGAAGATATTGTAGTGAGCTACAGCTATCATATAAAATCCACTCATCACCAAAATTCTCTTCTTTTTAGTATAGGCTTGAGCCCCAAATTGATAGCTATCATGTCATTCGTAAAGACAGAACAGTCATTTGGATTGTGATGACAGTAATTTTTTCCTCAGAGGTATCAATATAAATGTCATTACTTGCATGATTAACAATTTTGCTGCCATCTCTGAAGATCTTTATTGCATTTTGGGGAATGGTGCTTGTGACTTGTAAATCCAATTGTCTTAGGTATTTACTGAGAAAATACAGGAAAGTGAAACAGTGAAAGTGAACCCTGAAAAGTCCAACAACTTTGTAGTGATTCAAGCAATGTTGTAGTGAGTGAGGCTCAACATTGCAAGAAAGTATCTCTGAGACTCAACTAGGCCAAAAGGGCTGTTTTTTTTAAAAATCTTTGTTGGTTTTTCTACTTATTTAGGTACATTGAAGTTTTCTTGTATTGGCCATAACTAGAGAAATTGTTAAAGTATTTAACAAGGCCAGCTAGTCTTTTAGGGTGGAGAGGTTACAAATTGGCCTTAAAAAGGAACATTTCTGTAGTGCAACTGTGCCTCTGTAATAATACGAGCTATACTTAACTGAACTTTTTCTAATTTCTGCGGATTGGAATCAGAGGCACAACAATAAATTGGAAATCCAAACTCAAATAAGGGTTGAATGAGTATCAAATAACTAGTTCGGAGGGTAGTCACATCAGTTTAGCACTCCCTACCCACAATGTATTTAAGAATGTTACTTGTTTTTTACTGTCTTGCACTGTATGTTCAATATGTTTCTGACATGTGAATTTAGTGTCAAAAATAAATACCAGATATTTAGGATGCTTCTGGTAGATATGTTCCTGACTATTCAGCTGGTATTTGTATATGTGCTTATTTGTAGTAAAAAAGTAACAATGGATTTGGCTGGGTTAAAACATACGTTCATCTCTGCAGCAAAGTTGGACAAAGGTGCTAGAAAATTATTGAGTTTCATTTCTATTTTAGTTATATTAGTATCTGAACTTCAGACAACAGTATCATCTGCAAATATTCCAATTTTTATACCCCAAGTAGGCACTTTCTTCATTCCATTCCAGCTATATATATGGTGAAATGGATGGGGCTGATAACGGATCTCTGAGGGTCACCTTGGTTAAGTTCATCAGAGCTTGAGATAGTTTTATTAACTTTAACGTCTTTGCTGCAAAAGTTTGCTATCCATGATAAAGTATTTCCTCGAATGTTAGAAGTGTCATGTACTTTTAAAATCAGTTTGTGCTTCCATGCTCAATCAAAGGCTTTCCTGAGGACCTGTGGAGCACTGCGATATGAAGGGTAGGTTCGAAATTCTTTAGCATCTCTTGCACTTTGACAGAAATACAGAACTTGATCTGTAGTCCTTTGGCCTCCTCTAAACCCAGACTATACAAGGTTTTAATTTTTTACAATCTAGGTAGTATTGGTTTTTACAATCTAGGTAGTATTGGATCCTTATTAAAATCATTTTTTCCATTATTTTGCATACAAGTCAGATCTTCTATGTGAAACATCTGCATGGTTTTTTTTGGGGGGGATAGAGTATGGGTAATTGCTATGTAATTACTACTGACTTCTTCACATAAGAAAAATTTTGATCGAAAATTATGGTTTCATGTGAATTTTAGGGTTGACTTAGAGACTTCTGAAGGCTTTTTAGCTGCATGGAAAATATTTAAAAGTGCGTATATTGTCTTATTCTTAGAAACTTTGTTTAACCCATTCGCTGCTTGTTTTTCAAGATACTGATGTTCAAATGTGTGTGTCTGATTCAAGTTTATAAATTTAATTGAAATTAAAAAATTATATACATTGCTACAATCTATTAATTACCATGTAGAACTCTAAAACAATAAATGTGATAAGATGTTAGAATGACTTATGTTTTATGTGTTTGTAAATTTATAATTCATTTTCAGATCTTCAAAATTTCAAAATCATTAGAAAATAAAGAGCATGTGATGAATAAAGCCCCTATTAGAAGGAAGTCAAAACGAAAGACTGAAACGGACGATGGGGAAGATAATCATTGTTTCATTTGTAAAAATCCCGGATCTCTTCTTTTATGCGATAAAAAAGGATGTATCAGAGCTTACCACATTCGCTGTATTGGTATGGAGACCATACCAGAAGGTGAATAAGAGTTTTGAAAATTCATTGTGTAATTTATTAATAGTGTCTTTCCTTTTTCCTGCCCTTAGTCCAGCAGCTGACACAATTTGTATGCTTCATTTAGCAGAAAGGTTTTTGGTTGTTTGTGGAAACAACATGCATGCAGTAATCATAAAACAGTATCATTTTCATTGATAATGGGCCTCATTGTTTGGTGTAACTATAGGACCAATGTTAACCCTCTGACTGCTCAATTTGTGGACTGAAATCGCTTCAAAAATTGTGTTTATTTATTTATTTATTATTTTTAATCTTTTAAATCTGTGTATATATTAGAGAATTGAAAAAATGCATTTTTGCTTTCTAGAAAATACACTGGTGTGCAAAAATTAAGGACGAGACGGTTTTTTCAACATAACATTGGGCAAAAGCTTTCCAAATCAACACAAATAATGCCATAAGACGTAAGAACATGGGTGATGTAAGCAAAACCGTCCCAAAAAGGAAATCAAAAGAATAAAAAGGAACTTTATTGAAAAAGTTGCATGGAGCGCAATGTGACTGAAGGCCGAAACATCCATGTGACAGGTGTCCAGTAAGAAACATCAAGCCTTTATTACGGAATATGATCTCCCCTGACTGCTGGGCAGGTTTAGCATCATTTGTTCATGCTGAGTATGAGGTTGTCAATGAGTTGTTGTGGCACTGTTGCCTATTCCACTCGTAGCACCAATCGCAAATCCGGAATCGTTACTGGTGATAAGTTACGTTCTGCCACGTGTCTCCATATAAAGCCCTATACATGCTGGATGGGCTTTAGGTCTGGAGACCTTGCTGACCTTCTTAGAAGATGTGAAGGTCGGTACGGCTAGCAAGCATTATGCCTCCCCAAACGAGAAATCCACGACCTCCGAACCAGTCCTATTTGATGATGTTAGAGGGGTTATTGCGAGATCCCTGCTCTCTCCAGATGTGTGTGCATCTAGAATCGCTACTCAGACTAAATCTGCTCACATCTGCTAAGAGTACTCGATCCCACTGATTATCTGTCCAATTATGGTGTTACCTGCACCACAGAAAATGCCTATTCCGATATAGGCATTAATGGCATACGCCATACAGGTCGTCATGCAAACAGACAACCATTGTGCAGGTTCCTGGCCATGGTAAAACACGATATCGGTTGTTCAATCGCCTGTTGAATGTGATATTAAAAAAAATTTTTTTAATTAATTATGTTCATCAAGCCTCAGTCTCTATTTTGATATCGATACGTGATATTCAGTGTGTTGTTTAGATAATATCTCAACGATGTTTAGACGCGCAGAACATATCTGGCTGAAGGAAAATGTTTTTATACGAATGAAATTAATATTGGTGATAAACACCATTACGAAATATAGAAATGAAACAGTGTATGGCATTGCTCAACAAACATAAATGAACTGTTAATAGTAAACTTAACTTATTTCAGGATTGTAAACAGGCATGGTGAGTAAAATTGGGAAAATGTTTGCATAAAAAAAGTTATTTTCCATCCTCTCATTTGTTCTCAGAAAAACCAACATGTGACACTTTGGTGTTATAAAACCACATTTTCAAACGAGTATCTATGGCCTTCTAGAAAATCTAGCACTTAAGTGTCTGCAGTGTGAATTGTATTTTTCAGGGTTGGAGGAGATTTTGACGTGAAGGATAATAACCCTGGAAATTATTACTTCTTCCCTTCATAAGGGATAAATAATCATTACTAGTATTCGAGCTTCTTTAGATTGGATAAATAGATAATTTTTATAAAACCTTTTTTTCAGCTATGATTAGCATTCCATTCCAGCTTGCTATCATTGCTTTCAAAAGCTTGTTGTGTATATTATGGTGGTAGTTTTTATATTTTTACTTCTTTTCAGTGTTTATCGTGTTGATGACATATTGAAGAGACATTTGTTGTTATTATACTCGCATTTTGTTGTTAATCTTGTAATCATTGTTAATAAACATTAATGTTGATTTTGTGCTGAAAGGTTATTTTTTATTATCTGAGGACAAGGTAAAATTTTTTTTCTTTTTAATAGTGCCCAATAATTACTTTGATTCTGAATTTCTGAACTTAAAAAAAAAAAAAAATTATATAAATATCTGTGAAATACAAATGAAATGTTTTTTCAGCTATTATATAAGTAATTTTTAAAAATATAATTTAAGAATGTTATGTAATTATAAGATATAAAACGTAATTGTAAGGATGCAGCTATTTCCCAATGAGACTAATAATGTAAAATTTATTCTGCTTCTAAATAGATGCCGGTGCTTATAGATAAAATAAATGATGTAAATATAATAAGGTTAAATAAATTAAGGAAATTTGATGAGGTTCCGGTAGTACTTTACATAGTAAATAAATGTAATAATGATTTAATAGCAAACAATTTTTTTTTGAAAATATAAATATCAGATATAAACAAGAAACAAAATTTTAATTTAATTCAGTTTATTAATTTTATTAAATTGAACGACAATGGTATTACTTTTTTTATTTTCATGCCTTCTGTGTTTTTAAAGTTATTCAACTCAAATTTAAAAAAATTAAATATTAACAATAGAAAAATGACGAAAAATATTGAGAAAGTGTATAATTTAAGCTGATAAAACTAAGGAAACCAAGTGGCAAAAATATTTTGCATTGCAGTATTCAATATTAAATTTTAAAATCAATGAAATTTTGATGTACTTATGAGCCAAAGCAATCAAGCGAAATCAATTTAATTAGAGATGTGTTGTAAACATGCGCACGAAAAAGTAATATTAAGAAAATTAAGTCAAACGTTT